TCAATTATCTTGGCTAGGCTATGATATCGATGTAGAAGGCTATAGGCCGAAATTTTCTAAAATAGAGGCAGTATTAGCTTTGGAACCGCCAAGGACGCTCAAGCAACTCCGTTCATTCATGGGAATTCTCAACCATCTTCAACGATTTTTGCCGAACCTTCAGGTCCATTCGGACCAATTACGCCCGTCTTTGAAAGCAAGTAATAAAAGTAAATTTGTGTGGGGGGATTGTCAACAAACTGCATTTAGTAACATATTGCAACTGATAGCTAATATCACCAAAATGTATCATTATGACCAAAATCGGAACTCGCGTGTGAAATGTGACGCCAGCCATAGTGGTCTGGGTGCGGCGTTAGAACAGGAGATAGAAAAGGATGTGTGGGTACCAATTGCTTTTGCGTCACGTTTTCTCAACGATCGGGAAAAGAAGTACAGCACTAATGAATTAGAACTCCTAGCAATTGTATGGTCATGTGAGCATTTTCGAACTTATTTGCTGGGAAATCATTTTGTAATTTTAACTGACCATAAAGCAATTATCTCTGCGTTAAAGACCAACCGAGGTAACAAAACTCATCAATCGCGATTAACCAGATGGGCTGATAGGTTATTGCCGTTCGATTTCAATATCTTCCATATCTCCGGATGTAAATTGGGTATAGTGGATTATTTATCCCGTTTCCCAACGTTTGAAGCACCGCGACCAAGCAGTTTTGACGAACAATATGTAGTCAAATGTATTAACCGATTCTTTGATGCGTGCGATTTTTTGGATGAATGGGCCAAGTGTTGTCCTTCGTTAGAAGAATCACCGATTATTCAGAAAGACAAGCTAGTCTCGCTTGATATCATGAAAAACAGCCAGAGCTCTGGCGTATCTAATACAATTAACCTAATTGAGTCATTTGATTCCGGTCAGCCTCGGGTAAATCGTTCTGATATGGACAATTCATTTGCTGTATCTCACACGTTTGGTAGCCTATCGGTAGAGGGCGTCATAACTCAAAACATTCCAACTGCATCGCACGGCATAAAATCGATAGAGGGCGACAAAAATTTAGACAGTAACCATATCGGCATTTTCCAACAACTCAATACGTTTGACATCTCTCCACTAGGGGGCGTCAAAATTGCTGTTTTAAAATCTAACCAATCAGCGTTGAGAGAAATGAAGCATGCTTTTGTCACTTTCTCGGCATGGATTACATATAATCTGCCAATTTTGTTCTCACTGTGGATTATTACTTTGGCCGTTAGTGATTGTGATCTATTGTTGTCGCTCATAGATTGTTTCGCCTTTGTCTCATCGTACCATATTTCTTGGATAACAATCGTATTATTAAGTGTTTTTCAATTTCAGACAGCTATGGATTCTAACACCAACGCCAACATCAACACAAATGACAGCTTCGAACAGCTTTTAAACCAGTATCTCCCAGTCAATCAACCTTGGTTTTCCTCTGATAGGGCTCGGCCGCGGTTTCGCGCGGGGGCTGTACGTCCCAGAAGGTCGACAACATTACAACGCGGAGTGGAGCTCAGGAGTCAGTATGCCCGTATATTAGCCAACTTCAGGACAAAAAGGGCCAGGAAAACTACTGTAACAAATCGTCAATCTCAGTCAGTACATAGTCTAGAAATATTGAAATCACCAGTGGTCGCTAAGGACCAGAAATCGTTAACCGGGTTGGTGGGTATTTTGGACTCCGATGTACTGTCGAAACTTACAGACGAAGATGCCAGTCTATGCCTCATGAAACGAGCGATTATTAATCGGGACTACGAAGGATTTTGTCGTATAGATTCTTATATAAAATCCTTTTGGCATTGTGCAGCGGTGGTTGATGGCTGTATTGTTGTAGATAATAGGATCGCTATACCCATGTGCCTACGAAAACCATTATTGTCTCGACTACATAGGTCGCATGCGGGTCAGTTAGCCATGGTTGATGCTGCGCAATACATCTGGTGGCCCCGAATGCATCGAGATATCGTCCAGCTTTGCAAAGATTGTCCCCAGTGCACAAAAATTGGTAAGAATTTGAAAGCGAACGCTTCATTTAACTCTTCCAAGCCTTTACCCCTTTTGTCTGGTCCTAATGAAGAGCTCTAGCTCGATTACGCAGGCCCTCTCATCGATTCATTTGGTAACAGTATGTATATCTTGGTCGCGATCGACCGTTACTCAAAATATCCGTCAGCTATGATTACACGTTCTACGGGAGGACGGAAGATTATTAAATTTCTTAAATCGTATATTCAACAGCATAGTATCCCCAAATCTATAAAAACTGACCAATACTCTGGTTTTTAGAACAAATTAGTGCAAAATTTTTGTCGAGAAAAAAATATTGCTCAATATTTCTGCCCGGTGGGGGACCATCGTGGTTGCGGTTTAGTAGAAAGGTCGATTCAAACGATCAAACGTCGTTTAGGCGCCTCCCGGTTAAGTTCGGATTTTTCAAATATTCAAGATACTCTTAGGAATATTATTGAAGATATTCGGATTACAAAAAATTCTGTTACTGGGGTTTCACCGTTTGAGCTTCATTTTGGCCGTCCTCCGAATACGGAGCTATCCATTGCGGCTGAGCGTTTATCTACGGGCGTTAATTTAGATAACCAACAGTTGGAACGGGATCTTTTAACACCCGAACAGCGTCGGGAGCAGTGCGATAGCCGACCGAGGATAAAAGTGGTCAGGAAGGGGCAGTCAAGCCCGACGGTGTCTCCTTATTTTGGTGGATCTACGGATTTAGTTTCAGACACTCCTCACTACCGCGCCCTGGAGAACCTGGCACATTCTGCCAATCAGTGGTTGACATTGAAAAAGTCATTGTCCCACCAAGAGGGAGTCAAAGCCTTGAAGACGCTGACGGAAAGAAATCAAGTCCTCGCAGCCACCCTTTGCTCTAATTTGTCAGCTGGTACCCTTAGATTTAGGAATCAGATGCAAATGGATCAAATTCGCCCGTCGTTACCAAAACGTAATTTGGATTATTTAGTATTGAATGAACCAAGTAAAGTCAAAATTTTTAGGAAATTTCTAAATAGGAAATCTGGACGAGAACTTTTTAAACCTTTTAAGGGCAAAATCGTACGGATTACTGGGTCCACATATATTTCTGATAAGGGGAAAGTGATTAGAAGAAATCATTTGGCGGTACGTCTTAAATCAACCGACCTAAGTTTTTCAGGCAAACAACTTACGCCTGTCAAGAAGGGGCAGAAACGCCCCATTGTGTCATCTTCTCCGTCATCATCAGAAGACAATCGTCCTCTCAAACAACCGAGTTCTCGGCAACGCATCACAGCTAAAACGTTAAAGATTCCTGCTCATTCGAAGTTCCCATCTCTGCCATCTTCAAATATTCAATCTCGTGGCCAAATTGTGCCGACTAAATCAAAGGAATCTTCAATTTCGGAGGCTCCAGGTGTACAGTTTATCTCTTCTCCGCAGCACTCTATTCCAGTAGTAGACTTAACAGCATCCTCTTCCACGCCTGGAAATCAAGGAACGGAGGTTCTTATTAGTATTAAACCGAAGTCACCAATTTCAGTCATTAAAAATCCAGTATGTCCAGACCTCATCCCTATTTCATCAGATGATGAATCTTCAATTCCTAAATCTCAAGAAGGAACTTCTACAAATGTGGCAGCATCGGGCTTTCCACCCAAGGCGGTCCCGTCATAATTTCCGAACCGGATGGAAATGTCTCATCCTCTTCGAATTCGTCCCGTGCCTCTTCTCGACGTAAAAAACAGACTACATTTTACGGTAGCCCCATCAGACATTCTGTGAATATTATTCAATCACAGTCGATGTCTACTCCTCCGTCAACTCCTGCTTCGCCCGACAAGAAAGTTGTTCGCTTTGTTGTGGCTAATTCAGATTCCGAACCGATAAACCAAGCAGGACAGTCTCGGGTGGTTCTCCCCGATAATTCCGAAGGCCTATATCGGAGATTCACACGCTTCCCTAAAAAGAGTTCTTCCGACCATCCTTTGCGTCGGGCAGACAAATAAAACTTTTGAACCTTTGGTTTAGATACAAACTTATAAAAATCCTGTTTATCGCTAAAATTCACATCAGTTAATTTGTAAAACATTAGTGTTTATTTGATACAAGCCGTATTGTTTATCGTCTGTGAGGGCATAAAATTTGTTTTTGTTTTCCTTAATGTAAAGAAATTCAAACGTTGTTTGAATTTTTCCCGAGAGGTAGAAATGTGATGTGGCGTAGTTTATTAGTTCATATGACGTCATCAGTGTGCTAGCTATTCGTGCTAAATTCGTCTTCTTGTGTACCAAGGTCGTGACCGACCTGCCAATCCTTTATAGATTACCACTATGTGATCTTATTCATTCTGACACAACTTATGAAAGATTTGAGTTGTATTTAAAAGATTTGTCATGACATTATCTAAATACTAAACTATCTATATTATTTACATTACTATAAACATAATCAAGGAGAATTGATTCTTGTTTTACAACCGTTCTCTGAGGATTCACAGCAGCCAATAATTGAAAATTCAGTTCGTATTTTTTTCAAAATCGTATAAAGTGAGTATTAATTTTTTATATACATAAACGGAGGTGCCATGGGTGCCACAGAAAGACTTTCGTCTGTTCTATCAAGCGATTCCTTCTTTGCCAAGCTGAATTTTCTCCTTCTGACTGTAGCATCGGTCGGTACTTTCATATGCACCGACTCTCTACTCAGTGAGGTGACATTTCTCGTGCCAATTTTACCCGAAGGATGGCGACTTGGCTCCATTCTCGCTCTCATGAAAGGTCTATCTACCTCTGCTTTGCTGCTACTTCCTCTCTTTTTGAAACGTGGGATCATCACCGCTTGTCTTATCTGTTACGGGCTTGGTTTTATTTCCAATATTTCTATTTGCTTCTTATGGGACCAAACAATAGGACCAAACAAAACAAAACTATTCTCCGATGGACTTAGCATCGGGTTCCTAGCAAACGCCTTCTTTATAATGGGATTGGACTCACTTCGAATGACTTTGGTTTTCATGCTGACTGCTAGCATGTTCCCAGAGTCCTTCATGACTCCTGTATTGATCGGAGATGCATGCGGGGGTCTGTTCGCTAGCGGACTTGCCTACATTCAAGGCTACAAGCAGTTTTTTGGATCAGCAACTAATGCAGTCGCAACGCAAGGCACCTTGTCAAAAGATTATGTATTTGGACCGCAGACTGCTCTGCTGTTTATAGCGTTTCTTTTCTTTATCTGTTTCGCTTCTCTCGGGTGGCTGATATACCGAAGCAAATACGACCGAAGAGCGAAGTATTCGCCACTCACAGAAGGAGAGCGGGAAGCTGAGAATAGCGAAACGTCCCCATTACACTCCTCCAATATGTACTCTGAGAGACGCAAGTTCTTTCTCTGGTTCGCCGGGTTCATAGCTAGTGGATCCGTCTTCACGCTGATGCCGGCCTTTCAATCGTTTTCTACATTGCCTTACAGTCAGAGATGCTTCATATTGTCCGCATCTTGCTGGACGTTTTCGTTCCCGCTGACTGCCATCTTCGCTCACTTTGTCAGGCTGAAAAAAATGGTCAGTTTGCTCATTTGCCTGATTATGCACGTCGTAGTGTGTGGCGTGCTCCTATACATTGCCTCTCGAAGTCCCTGCCCACCTCTTCTTGGATACAGAGTCGCAGAGCCTATGATGATACTCCTCTGGGTCGCTCAAGGTAGCTCCGGTTTCTTCGTGTTTTGCACGACCAGTAACTGTCTCAGCGAAATTGACGAAAGCGCGGTCAAGTGGGGATCGATCACAGCTCAGCTTGGATGTCTTGTGTGCTCCCTCATATCATTCAGTTTAATAAATGTCTCTGACTTCTTCGTTGAAATCAAGGATTGAACTTTTAAAGTGACTTTCTACCTCTTTTGCAACTACTGTTGTATTTATTTTATAATAGATGATGCTGTTATATATAATTTCTTTGCGATGATTTAAAATCTGTATAACTAGCTGTTTAAACATTTTGGCCCGACACAGAACTTTCCGTTTAACAGTGTTGATGAACTATCATGAAAATGCAAATAAGGATGACTGCTTTAATTCAAAAAAAAATCACAGCGTCCACTGCAGATTGTCTAACAGCAAAAAGCAATTCCTAAAAACTTTTAACCGATGAAACTTCATATTCGTTAGCTCACACTTGTAGAGCGTCATGGTCGTAGGAAAATTATCCTAGAAGGAGTTTTTTAACATCCGCAGACACGCAAACACCGACACAAAAACGCATGCACGCACACATGCACACAAAATTCAGCAATTTATTAAATTTACAGACGATATGTAAATTTCAGTTTGCTCATGGAGATGCCACCGGAGAGGCTGATGCCTTTTTGGTATTCTCCTAAGCCGAACTTCATTGTAAACGTACATTTTCATAGAATGTATGGTTATAAGTTTTGGCTTGAAAATAAAAATATTATTATTTTCAGATTAACCTCGAACTTGAACGAGACACTTATGGATAACCGATTACTTTTTGGAGCTCAATTTGTTCAACCTGTAGAGTTTGGGGCGCCTGAAAGTTTTGTTTGTTCATTTCATTGAAAATTGTTTTTTTACGTCGTATAGGAACCAAGTATTTTTGGGCTTCCTCATAACTAATTCAACGAATGCGACCAGAAAAAATTGTAACTGTTGTGAGTTTATTGCAGGATTTAAATAGTTTGATTTTAAAAAATCCGCAGTTTTTTTAAACTGAAAGTTTCGTTTTGAAATTTCGTTTCTGGATTAACATGGCTGGTTATTGTTCCGACCATTTCATGAAGTGAGAAAGAACTTTTTGTGAAGTGACATGAGAGCACAAGAGTAGCAGTTTTTATGCAATTGTATAATCCAAGAACTTCTGTTGTGATTAAAAAATCTGGGCGTAAGTAACTTTCAGCAAAGTTTTTTTGGATTTCTTTTACTTCAAACTAATTTTAATTGCACGTTGAAAAAATAGTAATGTTGCAAGACTAGAAATTTTACCTTATTATAATAAGTCTCTATTGGTCTTGATTCAGCTTCCAAAAAATCAACGAAATTTGCAGAGTAAAATCCGACTGAGTTTCCCATGTAATTATTCAAGTTTTGCAGAACTGTTGTAATTATAATCTGATCTTAAAGATAACTAAACAACCTCGTCTTGGCTCACTAGTTAATATCAAACTTGAACAAAAAACGTCAACAGTTTTCGCTTCAATTTTCAAGTTTGCAAGCTTGATTAACACTGATTGTAACTATGCTGGAACTATTGTATTCAAAAAGAATTTAAAGTTGTGTTGAAAAAAATTGAGCTATAATATAGTCAGAGGATAAAAAATTTGTAACTTTTTCTGAAAATATATTATAAGCTAGCTTGCCGGAGAACTCGCGATTGATGTAAACTATTTGCAACTCTAATTTGTATGCAATTTGTTATACTTAGTTTCTCCTTGTAAGGTCCGGAGAAACTTTTTGAACTTCGACTTCTTTCAAACACGACCTAATCAATTTTCTGTCGTAAGTCCTTCCCCATTCCCAGTAGTCGAAAATGTGTGTGAGCATAACACTTCAAATCATAACACATTTACAAATGGGAGGCATACTCAACCAGACTCTTAGCAGATAACTGCCACCTATGCGTTTTAATTTTGGATAAACGACACAACCTCGCTCGAGCAATCTCCCCGAAAAATTCTCGTCGAGTATGACTGCAAGTCAATCCCTTTGTATAAAAATCAGGCGAGATGTATTCGTTATTATGCAGAGCGTGAATCGTATTGGGATATTCCGACAGCAATGTCTCGCGAGTCGTTTGTTAGGGGAGCAGTTTCAAATCCAGAACAATCAACTTTCTATTCGGATGCTCGGGTTTCATCGACAATGAGTGCGGAGACAACTGATCTAGTGACCCCAGATCTCATTCAAGGAAAACCTCCTAAAGTTTTGTTTGTTCATTTCATTGAAAATTGTTTATTTTACGTCGTATAGGAACCAAGTATTTTTGGACTTCCTCATAACTAATTAAACGAATGCGACCAGAAAAAATTGTAACTGTTGTGAGTTTATTGCAGGATTTAAATAGTTTGATTTTAAAAAATCCGCAGTTTTTTTAAACTGAAAGTTTCGTTTTGAAATTTCGTTTCTGGATTAACATGGCTGCTTATTGTTCCGACCATTTCATGAAGTGAGAAAGAACTTTTTGTGAAGTGACATGAGAGCACAAGAGTAGCAGTTTTTATGCAATTGTATAATCCAAGAACTTCTGTTGTGATTAAAAAATCTGGCCGTAAGTAACTTTCAGCAAAGTTTTTTTGGATTTCTTTTACTTCAAACTAATTTTAATTGCACGTTGAAAAAATAGTAATGTTGCAAGACTAGAAATTTTACCTTATGATAATAAGTCTCTATTGGTCTTGATTCAGCTTCCAAAAAATCAACGAAATTTGCAGAGTAAAATCCGACTGAGTTTCCCATGTAATTATTCAAGTTTTGCAGAACTGTTGTAATTATAATCTGATCTTAAAGATAACTAAACAACCTCGTCTTGGCTCACTAGTTAATATCAAACTTGAACAAAAAACGTCAACAGTTTTCGCTTCAATTTTCAAGTTTGCAAGCTTGATTAAAACTGATTGTAACTATGCTGGAACTATTGTATTCAAAAAGAATTTAAAGTTGTGTTGAAAAAAATTGAGCTATAAAATAGTCAGAGGATAAAAAATTTGTAACTTTTTCTGAAAATATATTATAAGCTAGCTTGCCGGAGAACTCGCGATTGATGTAAACTATTTGCAACTCTAATATGTATGCAATTTGTTATACTTAGTTTCTCCTTGTAAGGTCCGGAGAAACTTTTTGAACTTCGACTTCTTTCAAACACGACCTAATCAATTTTCTGTCGTAAGTCCTTCCCCATTCCCAGTAGTCGAAAATGTGTGTGAGCATAACACTTCAAATCATAACACATTTACAAATGGGAGGCATACTCAACCAGACTCTTAGCAGATAACTGCCACCTATGCGTTTTAATTTTGGATAAACGACACAACCTCGCTCGAGCAATCTCCCCGAAAAATTCTCGTCGAGTATGACTGCAAGTCAATCCCTTTGTATAAAAACCAGGCGAGATGTATTCGTTATTATGCAGAGCGTGAATCGTATTGGGATATTCCGACAGCAATGTCTCGCGAGTCGTTTGTTAGGGGAGCAGTTTCAAATCCAGAACAATCAACTTTCTATTCGGATGCTCGGGTTTCATCGACAATGAGTGCGGAGACAACTGATCTAGTGACCCCAGATCTCATTCAAGGAAAACCTCCTAAAGTTTTGTTTGTTCATTTCATTGAAAATTGTTTATTTTACGTCGTATAGGAACCAAGTATTTTTGGGCTTCCTCATAACTAATTCAACGAATGCGACCAGAAAAAATTGTAACTGTTGTGAGTTTATTGCAGGATTTAAATAGTTTGATTTTAAAAAATCCGCAGTTTTTTTAAAATGAAAGTTTCGTTTTGAAATTTCGTTTCTGGATTAACATGGCTGCTTATTGTTCCGACCATTTCATGAAGTGAGAAAGAACTTTTTGTGAAGTGACATGAGAGCACAAGAGTAGCAGTTTTTATGCAATTGTATAATCCAAGAACTTCTGTTGTGATTAAAAAATCTGGCCGTAAGTAACTTTCAGCAAAGTTTTTTGGATTTCTTTTACTTCAAACTAATTTTAATTGCACGTTGAAAAAATAGTAATGTTGCAAGACTAGAAATTTTACCTTATGATAATAAGTCTCTATTGGTCTTGATTCAGCTTCCAAAAAATCAACGAAATTTGCAGAGTAAAATCCGACTGAGTTTCCCATGTAATTATTCAAGTTTTGCAGAACTGTTGTAATTATAATCTGATCTTAAAGATAACTAAACAACCTCGTCTTGGCTCACTAGTTAATATCAAACTTGAACAAAAAACGTCAACAGTTTTCGCTTCAATTTTCAAGTTTGCAAGCTTGATTAACACTGATTGTAACTATGCTGGAACTATTGTATTCAAAAAGAATTTAAAGTTGTGTTGAAAAAAATTGAGCTATAATATAGTCAGAGGATAAAAAATTTGTAACTTTTTCTGAAAATATATTATAAGCTAGCTTGCCGGAGAACTCGCGATTGATGTAAACTATTTGCAACTCTAATTTGTATGCAATTTGTTATACTTAGTTTCTCCTTGTAAGGTCCGGAGAAACTTTTTGAACTTCGACTTCTTTCAAACACGACCTAATCAATTTTCTGTCGTAAGTCCTTCCCCATTCCCAGTAGTCGAAAATGTGTGTGAGCATAACACTTCAAATCATAACACATTTACAAATGGGAGGCATACTCAACCAGACTCTTAGCAGATAACTGCCACCTATGCGTTTTAATTTTGGATAAACGACACAACCTCGCTCGAGCAATCTCCCCGAAAAATTCTCGTCGAGTATGACTGCAAGTCAATCCCTTTGTATAAAAATCAGGCGAGATGTATTCGTTATTATGCAGAGCGTGAATCGTATTGGGATATTCCGACAGCAATGTCTCGCGAGTCGTTTGTTAGGGGAGCAGTTTCAAATCCAGAACAATCAACTTTCTATTCGGATGCTCGGGTTTCATCGACAATGAGAGCGGAGACAACTGATCTAGTGACCCCAGATCTCATTCAAGGAAACTCTCCTAAATCAGCTTGCAATGCCCCCCCAAAAAAAGAAAACTACATTCTCGAGAGCTTTTATAACTTTAACAAAAAATTTTCTTTTGTTTCAATTATTAATCTACTCCACAGATTTTATGTTTTCATTTTTGTTTGATTTGATTTTCAACTTGTTTCAACATGACCGTGAGTATGTTTT